TTACCTGAAAATCACACCCAAACCAAAGAATAGCATGTTTCAAGTTAGGACTTTCTCTGTATAGAATCAGTTTATCTTGTATGGCTAGGAGAGAAAGCAAAAAGCAATACCAAAAAAGACAGTAAATCAGCAGTAAATCACTATCCATTAGTAAATCATTGCCTATTATCAAAATAGGAGGAAGAACAGAAAGTGGAACTAAACAAAAATAACTCTGTGGTAAAATTCCCAGGGCAATTACGTGGTGGCCAGAACCCCCACATAGGGATAAAATGACCCAAGAACAAATAATCCAGAACAAAAGCCTTCAATTTGTCTTTTGATCTTCCTGTTTCCCATGGCCAGGATTCTCACATTACTCATCTCCACATTTTGCAATATGGTAAATAAGTTTTGTGTTGATCCAGGACGAGATAGTATATCATGCTAGATGCAGTGTACTTTATTTACACTGTTATCCTAGTCAAGCATGATTCCAATAGTCTAGAATTGCCAGCAACCAGCTGAAATCTTTGATTTCCACCATGGGGCTCAGCAAGGATTTGTTTCACCTTGTTCCAGAGGGACCATGCCCACAGACTTTGGGGATAAAACCCCAAAAGAAATTTTAACTGAAAAATTGCTTTTCTACTGGAGAGGGCTACTGAATAATAATATTACCCACCCTAATCTTTTTTCTTTAATTTCATCTCTTTCTTTCTCTCCTGGGGCATTACTGCCTTGCCTATTTTTTCTGTCAAGCATTATTTTATTGCTCATTTTTTACTGAACTCTTCTCTAGAGTGTATATTTGTCAAGAATTAATTCTATTGTAAAAGATATAAACCCAACTTGAAATAATTTAAAGGAAAAGTATTGACTCACGCAACTTGGAAATCAATCTAAATGGTAGATCTGCAAGCATAGCATATTTTGAGGGGCTCAAAATAAGTCATCAAACTTTGATTTTTCCTCATCATTCTACTCTACTTTCCTCTGTCCTGGCTTCATTCTCTACCAGACTCTCCTCCTGATGGGCTCTAGAAGCTTCGGTTTAACATGGACATTACAGCAGAAACAGATAGCCCTTTTTTCCCAGTGCCCATTACAATCCTCCCACCATTGAGAGTCATAATTGGCTCTTCTTGGGTTGTGTGCCCACACCTGAACCAATCATTGGAGCCAAGGGTATAGATTGATTAGCTAGCCTGGGTCACATACTCACCCCTATGGTGGGGAGGTGGGGGGCTTTGAATGACAATCTCACCAAAATCCCCCCAAAAAAGGCATGCTGGGCAGGCAAAAAAGTAAGCAACTTCAAACTACAAACCTATTGAGGTTTCCCTACCTTCAACCTTCAAATTAGTTCCCAGTCTCTCTTTCTTCCTGTTGTATCTCATTTCTTGATATAGAATTCTGAGCTGGCATCGAGCTGGGACTCAGAAATATCCATCTAGTCCTGCCATGGCCACTCATACACCCAAGATCCCAGAATAAAATTTTGGCTTACACAACAAATCAGTAGAGAAACACTTTATTGTGAGCCACTCCAGGGCAGGTGTCCAGGGGTCCTAAGCCCCTCAGTGGACCACTATGCGTGAGCTGGACTAGGGACTATTACTGGGCAAGAGGTACCACCATCCCATCAGAACTGTTTGTATGAAATTACTCTTCTTCAGAATTACACCATCCAGAATGGCATTCCAAAACATGGTATTTATCCCCAGTATAATGAGTCTGATGAAATTTAATGTTCCATTCAAATAAAATAGTAAAGTATATTTGTAGGCCTTTATCAGCTTCCTATGTAATAAAAGAAATCATGTTTTCGCTGATTGCTTTTCGCTGGATTGCTGATTAATTTTTCCCTCTTGTCTTGGGTCTGTTGTAAGGATGGTCTACTTTCCTGTTGCCAACAGTGGGAAAATACAAGAAAGGAAGAAATAAAGAGGATTGACTGGGTAGGGTTTTGCATGAGATTTGCATGTGATACTATGTGGCCAGATATCAAATGTACCTTGCACCTTGTGCTTGAGCAGAAGAGCAGAACTGGAGAGAATGAAATACTTTTTGCCAGGAGTCCTGCTGCTGAATCACCTGCTCATCACGACTTCCCTCAAGAGTTCAAGGAACTGTGAACATATTGCGGGCTTCCCTCTGCCTTTAGTTCTTACTAGTTTCTAAACCAGGGATATCAATTACTGTCCAGACACAGTCAGGGCCTGGAGGTGTTTTGTATGTCATACTTGTCTCTTGTTTTCTGAAAATCTATAGGTATTGTTCTAAAAATTAAATATATTTGAATGGAGGTGTTTTGTATATCATACTTGTCTCTTGTTTTCTATAGGTATTGTTCTAAAAATTAAATATATTTGAATGCTTATTAATACATTCAGGTAACTTAGTGTCTACAGGTTTAAAACAGGGTCTTCCAGATGACTGTGCAGTGGAATTCAAGATCCCCGCCTACCTTCTCTTTTCCTTTCCCTTTGCCTCAGAATCTGAGTTCCTAGGGCCTGGTGTATTTCCCCAGCACCAGGAAAACATCACTGTCTCATCTTCACTGGCCTCCAGTTGGATTTCTCATCCCCCAGCTCAAGGCTGCCCACCTGATGGTCTCTGCAAGAGCATTCTCTCGCCCACCCCACAGGTGCCTGGATTTTTCATTCCCTGCACTTATCCTTGCTCTTTCCAGGAGACTCATTGACTTTTCCATACCTCCCCACTCCCACCCAAACCCAAGAGAGTCATGATAGGAGTGACAGTGAGAGGCTGTCAGTCTTTCTTTGGTTAAAATAGGCCACCCTGTGGTTTTTTTCCCTCTGAGGTAACCCAAAGATAGTGTGGAAGCATTCCTTCAGGAAACCATTCAGCCGCTTTTCTGATATGAAATTCACAGACCCATTCAGCACCTGCTCTCCATGCCTCACAGAGTTTTAAACTCCTACAAGCTGCAGGACAGAAAGTAAGCCCCACACTCAGGTCTCAACCTGATATCTCCAGCTCCCTCCCACTGTCCTCAAAGAGCTTCCCCACTCTTCCTGTGGCCTGACCATATACCCTGCAGCCTGCTTACTCTCTGCCTTAGAGCAATGGTTCTCAAATTTGACTGTGCATCACCCGGAGGGTTCATTATGACACAAGTTGCTGGATCCATCCCCAGAATTTCTGACTCATTAGGTAAAGTCAGTAGAATAATAGTCCCTAGTAATGATAATGGCACACAAGTCCCAAGAACCTGTGAATACGTACTCAAATGGCAAAAGGGACTTTGTAGATGTGATTAAATTAATGATTTGAGGTGAGGACATTATCCTGGATTATCTGGGTGGCCCAGTGTCATCACAAGGGTTCTTATAAAAAGGAGGGAGGAGAATCAGAGTCAGAGAAGGAGATGAGATGATAGAAGCAGAAGTCAGAGTGATGCAGCCATAAGCAAAGGAATTCAAGAGGACTTTGGAATCCGGAAAAGGCAAAACAGGAATTCTCCCCTAGAGCCTTCAGAAGGAACACAGTTCTGCTAACTTGATTTTAGCCAAGTGAGACCCATTTCAGAATTCTGAACTCCAGAGCTGTAAAATAATGAGTGTTCTGTTGTTTTAAGCTGCTGATTTGTTGGTAATGTGTTAAGAGCCTTAGGAACCTGAAATGAAATTGGATTAGCTCATGAGAACCTGCATTTCTAATAGGTTCTCGGGTGATGCTGATGCTGCAGGTGCAGGAACCACACTTTGAGAATCACTGGCTTATAGTGAATAACAAAATATTTAGTCCTCCTCCAAACCCTGGACTGCAGGTTATACACACTGTTTGCCCTCTCAGTGTCTGAATTGTGCAAATAGAAGTGTTGGTTTTGACAACTATTACCTCCAAAAAGTGCCTATTTTGGAAATCAATGCTTAACCTGATTTTTTTTTCTTTCTTTTCTGCCCTAAAGCAATGGTAGAGATCCAATAGGCAGTTGGCATGACAGGCCATTAAAAATGTATTGTATTAATAACTTCCCAACTATTATCTCACTATATTCTGATTTATTATTTTCTTTTGGAGAAAATTTCAGAGCACTCTCAGTTTATCTACTGACCCAAAATCTCCATGAGGTTGGAAAATAAAATAAGAACCTGCACGTTCCAGAAGGGAAATAAGACAAAGGGAGGTTTGCAATGAGCAAGGTGTCTAAACCTCTGCTTCCTTTATGTCAGCCTGATATTTTTCCTAATTCCTTTTAAATATCTCTGTTCACCAGCTCCTCCTTCCCTTTCGCCTTCCCCAGGTGAACTTGGCAACACCTCTTAGTATCTGACATTGCTCCCTTCAGCCATGTTTCTCCAGGTAATAATGCTGGCTTTCCAATCTGGGATGCTCAGATGGAGGTGACAGTGATGGTTACTATGGACACCAAACCAGCCAGTCACATGTCCTGGGCCTGCCAAAAGGCCTCTGGGGCCTTGCTTGAGATGGGGGATCTCATCCTACTATCTCCAGGGCTCCTGGTAGAGGAAGAGAGAGGAGGTGCACAGAGCACTGAGTATGTACAATAAATCCAATACCTTGGATGCAGTAGTTACTGCGGGATGTCAGTGCACAGTGAGAAAGAGTCAATTTAACTGTGGTCTTTGCCATTTCCTCCCCCTCTTTTCTCTTCCCTTTCTCTTCTTTTTCTCTTCATCTCTCTTTTATTTTTTCCTATCCTGGCAAACATTGGAGTCCCACTTTGATTCCAATTCCAGCTCTTCCTTTTGCTAGCTCTGTGGCAAGGAACTAGGAGGTTAACCTCTCTGATCCTAAATTTCCTTACTCATTAAGTGGGGGTGAATATTCCTATCTCAGTTCTCTGATGAGAACTAGATGAGAGAATATCTGAAATGTATCTGGTGTAGAGCAGGCACTCAATTGATGCTCTCCACAGTGGCAATTTCTACTCTCCAGGCTTCTCATCACTAAGTCCCATTCAGCCAACAGAGTTCACAGGAAATGCAAGGTATGAAACCACAACTTTAATGGGAAGCTCAGATTTCCTTTTCATTCCAAGACTAAAACATTTCCCACTTATTTGTCTACATGGCTTTATTCTTCCAGTTAGGCATTCTTAGGGCTCTAGGCATACTAGTTACAAAGAAATTAAATTTTTTGCTGAAATAATCAAATATGATTGTTGGGCTAAAGGAAACAAAGTAGATCAACAGGCAAGCGCCTGACCCCGGTGTGTAAAAGGTAAAGGGTCTCTTAGCAGAGATAGCATGCTGGATGTTCAGGAGCACAGGGGTCAAGTCCGTATGGCCATACTTGTTGACTAAGCTGAAAAAATTTCGTTGCATAAGGATATAGTCCTGGCCATAATCCTCCAGCACATCAGGGGTGAGGTGATCTAAGATGTCCTTCTCCAGCTTGTCCCACATTTCATTTGTGCCCACGATATCTGGGAGGCAAGAGAAAAGGGAGGTTCAGATGCTAGGAAGGCCCAGACAAGCACGGCCACTCCCTAACGGAGATGCAGGCTCTTGTGATTTGGCTTTTGTTGGGCAGGACAGGCATTCCCAAACACCTTTTAAAACATGTGCTTTATAATAGTACTTATTATATTTTTTTAACAGAAGTGTACACAGATGACTAGGTTTCCGCAAACTGAGTAGCCCATGTAAGCAGTAACCAGATGAAGGACAAACCTGCCTCCGAGTCCTCAGTCTCAGCGCCCTTTCCAAGAGCCACTGTCCCAATGAACAGAATAGAGTAGTTTTGCCTGGCTTTGGACGTTATTTGAATGGAATCATACATTATGTTGAGAGAGTCATCCATGTTACTGTGTAGTCATTCTCACAGCTGCATAGTTTTCCATTGTGTAAATATGCCACAAATTATTTATTCATTATACTGTCATGGGCATTTGGGTTGTTTTCAATTTGGGACTCTTAGAAATCATGCTGTCACAAACATCGCGGTACATAACTTTCGTGACTATTATATACAATATAAAATGTAATGTATATACCATAATATATATTATATATAAATTATGTATAAACATATTGTGAATAATAAGTAAATAGTTAAGAGATGTATATGTTTTAAAATTAATCTCCTTTGAGGTAACTTATAGTTTTGTGTGTCTTTTTACATTTTCTCCTTGTTCATACCAACATATACACACATAGAAGGCTTTGGTTTCATACTAAATTACCAGTAACAAACAAAAAACAAAAAGGATCATACTATACACATTTTCCAGGAATTTGCTTTCTTATTTGTTTGTTTGTTTGTTTGTTTGTTTGTTTTTGTTTAGTAACAAATCACAAACCGGCCACCTGGTCCATAGCTACAGATTTAAACCAGAGTAGCAGAATTTTCCACTGAATGGCTTTTAGTCAACCACTCATCTATCAAAGGACTTCCCCGCAGTTATTAGGTTTCACCATTTTAGGTGGCTCTGCCATAAATCACCTTACACAATTTATCCTGTTGTATTTCGGCATTTACTTATGCCCCCAAAGTGCGGCTACCTGGTCAAAAGGCACACTCATTTTGAATTTTATTAGCTACTGCTACATTCCAGGAAGATTGCAGCAACCCATGCTCCCTCCTGCAAAGTATGTGATAGCTGGGAGATTGCTGTGAGGATTGCCTTTGTTTGTGAGCTTGGGTGATTCTCCTGAATCAGGACTGCAGGGGATCCTTGCTGTGAAATGTAAGCCAGAGAAATCCAATTATACTCATGGGAATGCAAATGGAGTTTCAATTGTTGATTTCTTTTCATGAAGGCACAAATCATATTTAAAGAAATGATTACCCTGGCAATTACTCTGGAGGCTTCTGGGTCATGAAAAACAGGTTTGTATGAACTATTGTTCCTCCAACTACCTCTCCCCTAGTCTCTGCTTTCACCGGCTGGAGGATTCCTTTCCCTCTCCACCTCCTCTTTAAACACCTCATGGACTTTCTAACCACTCTTTGTGGGTATCCTGTCTAGAGTCTCTAAAGCTCCTTATTGGGGACAAGCCACCAGCCCTTCATATGCCACTCACACACACACACGTGTGTGCGTGCACACACACACACACACACACACACACACACGCACCAATCCCCTGCTTCTCTGGGGCTACACACAATGAAATTGTTAAGACTACCTGCATCCAAATCCCATCTCTGTCTCATATTGCTTCATACCAGCCCCGTGGCTTGGGAAATTCCTTAACTTCTCTAAGCCTCAGTTTTCTCTCTACAAAATGGAATTACAACGCCTACCTTATAGGTAAGGATCAAGTGAGATTGTGCATGTAAAGTGCTTAAAACCTGCTAAGCATGCAATATGTTTCAGCTATTCTTATTGCAGGGCACTACAAAATCTGGTATGACTCCTTGAAAGTCTTCAGAAGCTCTTTATGTCTCTGAAGTTTCCTTTTGCGCCCCATTCAGGCATCATTCTCCAAATTTGAGTCCTTAGCCCTCCATTGTCTAGCCTCTTGCCTTCAGATTGGCCATCGAATATCAGCTTGAAACTTAGGGCAGTGTGATATAAAAGAAAGAATCTGGACACTGAATCTAGGGATCTAGTTTCAAATTTCCCACCATCACAGTGTGCCAAATACCCAAACTGGGGTATATATTACCCACCACACCTCAACGTCCTCACCTGGTAAATTATACCAATTAAGACACATATGAAAGGTTGGGAGTATAAGTTGGAACAATATTTTAGAAAATGGTTTGGTATTATTCTGTAAAGTTGAAGATAACTAACTCTATGATCCAGTCATTCCACTCCTGGATATGTGTCTTGGGAAAAATTATGTACATATACGTGTGCCAGAAAGTTCATAGCTGAATTCTTCATAGTTGTCCAAAAGTGACCCAAATAACCCAAATAACTGTAGAAAAATCATGGCATATTCACAGAATACTATACAGCAATGAAAAAGAATGAACCACAGCCATACACAATATAGATGAATTGTGGAAACATAATGTTCAGTGAAAGAAAACAGATGAAAAAGAATGCAAACATGTCAAAAATCAGTATAGCCAAACTCTATTGTTTGGGGATACATGTATGAATGTAACACAGTAAAGAATAGCAAATAAATGATTATTACAAAAAGTAAGAGAGTAGTCACATGTTGAAGATAGGAGAGAGCTATGACTAGAGAGGACCATATGAAGGTTTCTGGGTGCTAGAGATGTTTTATTTTTTTTACCTGGATGTTAAATACACGAGTTTTTATGTTATTAAACTATGTGTATATATGATATATTTCTCAATTAAAAAAATAAATAAGATCAACAACATCAGAAAAGAATATATGGAAAGTAGCTAGTGTCTGAGAAGAGTAGCTCCCCCCAAATGTTAGCTATAACAATTTTGGTGAATTCTTGAAACTGTAACTACAGGGTTGCTCTCTGGTCCAAATGGAGTCACATCTCTGTGTTGGAAGTTTTCTTTGGCTGTGTCACCAAACCCTCAATCCTCCTGCCAAGTTCAAAATCAAATTTATCATTTTCCCCCTTATACTAGCTGTTAGTCAGCTTTCTTCTTTCTGTGTCTTCCATCCCAGTCTCTCAGTCTGTCACATTTGGCCTTATCTTTGACTCACTCAATTCTCTTCCCTGCCCAGGGAGTCCCTAAGGTCGTAACCTTTCTCAAGACTTCATCTTCCCTCCATCCATTCTTACTGCCATAGTCTAGCCTCTCAACCCGAGTGGCCCAGGTCTTTTTCTATTACCCTCATAGAATAGGCCTTTCACCCAATCTTGTTCCTCCTGGTTAACATTCCAACCTCTAGGGTTTGTTCTTTAGTGTGTTAAAAATCCTTCTTAATATGTGGCCTTTTATTAGACAGGCTCTTTTACATCTTCACTTAAATCACAATTAATTGATTGATGGTCTAGAACCAAGGACTGAGCCATAGAGGTGAGTCTACATCTGCCCAAAGTTCAGAAATTCAGGGATGGGAGAGGAGGGGATGGCCATCTCTTCAGAGGTAGAAGGGAGGTAGGTCATATTCTTCAAAGGGGAGGAGGTAGTGTTTGAAAAATATATGACATTAAACTTAAGTACTTTGTGGAAGGATGCAGGTGAGCAACCAACAATTGAAGAACCTGGCCCTTGCCCCTCTATTCTTAAAAGAGACCCAGTCATCTCAGCCCCTCCTTGGGTGACCTCTGAGAGGTTCAGTGCAAGCAGAACGAAGGACTTTTAACATTCCTTCTAGGACAAACATTGCAAGTCTCTTAGGCTTAGATACCTACTTGTTTTGAAGCCTCCAGGCTGGATGACAGAGACTTTAATTCCCCATTCTGAAAGCTCTTGTCTCATAACTGCTGAAAACATGCACAGAGCCGCCTTGGATGAGCCATAGGCTGCCAGCTTTACCATTGGGACACTTCCTATTAAAATAATGGGAGAAAAAAAATCAGGTCTGATATTTTTAGTTGTTCATCCGCTAAGTATTTAAAAAGCACCCACCGCATGCCAAGAATTGGTATGAGTGGTGCTAAGGCAGAGAGGGGTCCTCTGTGCATATTCTTGGTCACAATTATTTGTCTGGCTTCCTTTGTTTCTGCCTTCATGGCTGCTTTATCACAGATAGTCCAGTGACAAACCAAGTGTATGGTTCAATCTCTCCCAGCTTCTAAGCTAAATGTGATTTAGGTGGCATAAAGAGCACCTGCCCCAGCCTCTGACTTTTCTGTTCGGCCAACTACATTCTGAGGTTCTGGGTAGACATATCTTTGGGTGGGGCAGGAGGAAGACACTGTTCAGCCCATTACAACACCTGTAGTTGAACAAATTCGTTTTAATGCTTGCTGCAACAAGGAGTTACACACCCCATGGGAATCATGGGGCTTCTCTGTAAGAGGGTATGAGAAAGGACTTATTCTAGGAGGGCTAGCTAAGGTTGGGTGGGGGAAGATGTTCTTTATCCTACCTAAATCACATTTAGTTTAGAAGCTAAGTGAGATTGAGCCTTAAACAGGATCTATCAATGGACCAGCTATGAGGGAGGAGCTATGAAAGGCAGAAGCAAAGGAAGCCAATAAAGTGAAATAAGTCAAATAAAGTGAAGTAACCTTATATGGAATAAATGCCTCGTTGCAGATGTAATTAAGGTACAGATCTTAAGATGAGCTATGCCCTAAACCCAGTGATGGGTGTCCTTGTAAGAGATGATAAAGCAGAAGAAACACAGAGAAACAGGGGGAAAGACCATGTAGAGATGGAGGCAGAGAATGAAATGATGCTGCCACAAGCCAAGGAATGCCTAGAGCCACCAGAAGCTGAAAGATCAAGAAGGTGTTCTCCCTTAGAGCCTTCAGACAGAAGATCTCGCCTACTCTTTCTTACTACTTTAGTAAATCTACAATGATCTTAATAAAATTTTCAATTTTAAAAAAGAGCAAAGTATCTGCACTCCCACGTTCATTGTAACATTATTTACAATAGCCAAGACATGGAAACAACTGAAGTGTTTCTCAACAGATTAATGGAGAAAGAAAATGTGGTATAATATATGCAAAGGAATATTATTTAGCCACAAAAAAACAAGGAAATCATACTATTTTCAACAACACACATGGACTTTGAGGGTCTCGAGGGAATTACATAAAGTGAAATAAGTCAAACAGAGAAAGACAAATACCATGTGATCTCACTTGTCTGTGGAATCTAAAAAACCAAACTCACAGATACAGAGAATAGATTGGTGGTTACCAGAGGTGGTGGGTGAGGGCGGGGGTGGTCAGTGAAATGGGTGAAGGTAGTCAAAGAATATAAACTTCCAGTTATAACATAAATAAATTCTGGAGGTGTAATATACAGTAACTCCTCACTTAAATCATCGATAGGTCTGCAACTTTAAGGAAACCACATATAACAAAACCAATTTTACCAGAGGCTAATTAATATAAACAATAGATAAGTTCCTATGGCATCTCATTAACATTTTAATGAAACTATATTGAACAAAACATTATTCCCAGACCTGCTGTATTGCACAGTGACTATAGTTAATACTATATAGTATATTTGAGAGTTGCTAGGAGAGCAAGTCTTAAAAATTCTCATCACAAGAAAAAAGAATTTGTAACTACATGAAGTAATGCATGTTAACTAACCTAATGTTGTAATCATTTCATAATATATATGTTGTACACCTTAAACTAATACAACGTTATATGTCAATTATATCACAATAAAATTGGGGGGGTCAGGTGGGGAAGAGCATAGGTGTTGAAGTAGAGATATCTGAAATAGTTAATGTCAATTATCATCATTTTTCTTACATTATTATTAAATCTTTGGTCTGGCTTACATCATTTCCTTTTGAGAAATACAGGCACACCTCAGAGATATTATGGGTTTGGTTCCCATAATATCAGCAATAAAATGGGTTGTAATCTTTTTGCTGGAAAAGGCCTTGCTTTCAACTTGTGAGAAAAAAAAAAAAACACATTTGTGAAGCACAATAAAGCAAAGCACTATAAAACTAGGTATGCCTGTACTGATTCTTACCTCCCTGTTTTTATAGGAAGGCTGTCAGTCAACGGCTCTGTCCTTGTTAAGAGAGGCAGACTGGCCAATTACAATACCTCATCCCCTGGGGATGGAGATTGGGTTGGTGCTGTGCATGTGACCTGAATTGAGCCAGAGTCCTGATATAGTAGCGGGAAGGAGTCCTGACAGAACCACCAGGGGCCACTTTTGCTACCACATAGGAGAAGGTCAGCAAAGGAAAACAGAGCAGCAAAGAGGGGAGAGCAGAGAGTGGGAGGTGCCGGCTGAGGAGGGAACCGGGAAGTGGAGATGGGGGAGGGTTGCAATAATGTCTTAAAACTTGGTTCCAGACAGTTGGTAAACTAATAAATTCCTTTTTCCTTTTTTTGTTTAACCTAGTTGGAGGTTTACTTGTCACTTAAAAGGAACAGTCCTGAAATTTAGTTGATGAAATATAAATATAGCATCTCACATCAAACTTTTAAGCTCTTCCACAGATGACCAGCTGATTCTTATTTAAGTGATTTTTAGTTTTACAAAATCTTAAAGTTGCAAATGCAACTCTTTCCTTTTACTGGTGAGAAAGGCCAAAGAAGTCATAGCAACTTGTTCAAAGTTGCAACCCAGTTTGTGGGGTTATATCGTTCTCACTTCACAGTTTTAACAGATGTGGTGAGCTGGCGAGCTAGGAGGCAGGTTAACAAGGGCCAGCTGTTAACAGCTAATTCTGAAGCCAGCACTGCCTATATTCAAGTCTTAGCTCTGCGATTGATGAGTAAAATAAATTAAAAATAGGAAAATCATTTCATGTTCATGTGCTTTTGTTTTTAATCTTTAAATTAGGAATAATGATAGTACATGCATCATATGGTTGTTGTGAAAGTTTAAAGGATTAATATATTAGAATAGTACCTGGCACAAAGTAAACTCCATATAAGAGCTTCTTATTATTAGTGCTACTCAAGGTTTTTACAATAATATCTCAATACTCCAAAGGGATCCACATGTTCCATGTTTCTTAAAATAATAAGTGCACCTGTTCAGGATCTCCCATAATAATTGTTTATTATGTGGATTACTAGGACCTACCCTAGACCTACTCGATCAGAATCTACATTGAAAATCAATCCAATTCTTTTGAATACTAAACCTTAAACCATTACATTAGAGCAGTACTTGCTTAGGAGTTATTAAAACTGAATTCTTGGTCTCCCCTAAATAAATATCTATCGTTGATAAACAATTCAGAACTTTGGGTCACCTGTTGTTAGTAGGTGACTTAACAGAATACCCAGTCAACAATAGGACTTGTTTTAACCAACCACGTACAGACCTCTAGACTCTTTCCACCATTCCTGACTACAAATTGTCTATCCTTACTTAGCTTAATTACCATGAATGTAGCATCTAGAAGATACCAGAGTCCCCCACCCAGCTTTTCTATCTGGAGAGCTACTCGGTGACTGTGCGCTGGCAAGTGAATACGCTCAGCATTCATGTTGTTGATCACTCTGGTGGTCACTGTCTTTCTTTTGATGTTATGGTATACTGTTGGTCATGGCTAAAACTGAGGGAGACTTGAAATTACAATTTTGGAGCTTACGGAAAAATGGTGGAGACCCTCTACCCTACCCCCACCCTTCTCTGCCTCTCCTCCTCACCCTGACCCCTGCAGTGAGCTCAGACTTGGTCTTTGCCTGACTCTCTTGGTGTGGCATAAGAAATAAGTTAGAAACATTTCCTAAGGTTCTACCAGCCAAATGTTCTTGATGTCCTTTAAGGTAACACAAGCCCTCAAAAACTTCTAGTCTCAAAGATCAACACCTACTTGGAAATCTTTCTTTTTCCTAATATAAAGCTAACATAGGAATTACGGAAGTGTTCTCTAAGTGAATACACTGTTAACACAGCAGGGGGCAGATATAGTGCAACTTTTCATCTTGAGGCTCTATAGGTGTATAAGTAGGATGTGATATTTTGATTTATAATAAATATATATTCTGTCTTTTTCCCGGTTCTGGCGCAGAGCTCCTAAAACTTGGAACTTCCTAAGTGCTGAGAGCAACAAAGGTGTCTTTTGTTATGTCAATGAGGTGACTCAGAATTTACTGTAGGATGGGGGCTGGTAGCTAGGGAGTCAACCATGTGATTAGAGGGTTGAAGCTTTCAATCCTTTCTCCCTCCAACCTCCTGGGAGGGGAGAGAGGCTGGTGATTTGAGATCTATTACCAAAAATAGACAGGTGGTAGATAACCTGGGCTTGCAACTAGCAACTAGCATCTGAAGTGGGGGTGGTGGAATAGTCTTGTAGGACTGAGCCCTTAACCTGTGAGATCCGATGCTATTTCCAAGTAGATATCAGAATTGAGATGAATTGTAAGATGCCCTGCTAGTTTCTGAGCTTTGTTTATTGGTGTGAGGGAACCGCCCCCTCCCTACATTGGAATTAGATGCAAAACACTTTTATATAGGGGTATCAGGGTACCATACCCACAGCAGCTTTCTCGTTCTCTAATACCTTCACAAGCCTTGTCCTGAATGAGCTTGTCTCAAGAGGATGTAATGAGGATTCCCAGCCAGTTTCAGCCTCCTCCAAGGTCATCTGGAGTCAACTTGTCTTGCTCAATTCTTTGTTTGAGATATCAAGAACCTGGATAATGTGCCAGGAGAGGACCCCACTCTCCGGTAACAAACTCAGGTAACAAAGTCCATTCCTTTATTGCACGTTTCCAAGATGAAGCACACAGACCAACCACATGCCCAGAGAAGTAGTATAACAAAGCAAAATGCTCAGTCTCTCTGACTCCCTCTTGTTCAAGCCTGTGTTGTTCCATGGTCTTCAGGCTAATAGCGCTTGCTTTGTCTTGCATATAGACATGCTAATCATTAGAAA